TCTCACAGCCACTGGCAGTAAACTTTACATAAAATTTCTGGTTTGTTATTTCACTTACAGAAATTACATCTAGAGCCATTGCAGATGCTAAACTGGCATTTTCCACTATCTGACCCAAGCATGGCATAAAGCAGTGTCCACAGCCCTCAACATTTACCTTCTGTCCATTTGCCATTGACAACTATGGCATAGAAGCTGGTTTAAAGCTCTGAAACATTTCTTTGTTTCTGCATATGTGGTCACATGCACCGCTGTCCAATATACGGTCCTCATTGTTCTCTTGCTTTAAGAGAATGGACATCACACTGGTGTCCTTTCTTCGCATCTTCTTACTGCCACGTGGTCCCCTCCTCGGACCTTTATTTTGCGTCTTCCATGGGCAAAACCTTTGAATATATCTCTGGACACTATAGACTGCTTCCACCCCAGAAGTGCTGTTTGAAACTTCCTTGTTGTTGGGCAGTCTCCCACAAACAGCATTCCTCTCTGCAGCCTCTTCCACTTTGTGTCATCTCCTTACAGACTCTTCCTGGAGCCTTCCAGTGAAGTAGCTCATAGTGAGGCTACTTTCTGGTGGGGTTTCAAGACTTTGAGAGAAAATGCCCCATTCCTCTCCCAGGGAACTAAGCACAATAAAACACTGCTGAGTGGGAGTGGAAACTTCTCTCCATTCAGCCAAGTCTGCAAACAGTGCCTGCATTCTCTGCAAATGTACAGAAACATCACCTCCCTTCTTAAGCCAGGATCTGTACAGCTGCTTGGTTAATGCAATTTTAGATATTGTATTGTCTCTCAAATATGTATCTCTGAAAACATGCCAGTTATGTTTTGCAGAAGGTGAGTTGCTTATTAACAGTAGTTGGGAGTTTTCCACAGCCAGCCTAATCCATGAATGGGTGATCTCCTTCTTTCTGACTGCATCTTCACCAGAACTCTCATCAGGTGCCTCCTCCTCCTCCTCCTCCTCCTCCTCCTCTTCTACCTTAGGCTGAGGAGGTGGAGCTACTTTCTTAGACTGGATGGGTGAGTCTAACACATACTGCCACAGATATTCCTTCTTCAGAAAGAATTCCATCTTCTTGGCCCAAGCTAAATACTTGTTGCCATTTAGCTTTTCTAAAGGAAGTCCACCCTGTCCTCCAGCTGCCATCTTTGCTGTTTTAACCACAGGAACTTAAATCAAAGTTCACAAAGCAGGTTTCTCCATGCCAAGCCAAACTCACCACAACACAAGTGAAGCTTCCAGGCACCCAAACACACTTGATGGCAGATACCTTCACATGTGGCACTGTACATGGTCTTCTGGGCCCATAACCTTTGTCACACTGTGAACAAGATATGAACATGATTCCAATATATCAGCCAAAGGTAGAGATACCAGGATGAAATCAGGAAGCATGACCAGACTGCTCATGGTGAAGACATTTATTTACAGGTGATAAGCAGGTACTATATATAGTAGAAGGAACTGAACAAACAGACAGTGTTCCTCTCTTAGTACTCAAAGTAGTTTACAGCAGCTCTCACAGTAACTCCAACAGCTCACTAACTCCACACAATGCTAACCTACACAATGATAACTTACTCATGATAACCCACAAATTATTTACATTAAACACAGCTATATATACCCTAGTTTGTTGCAACTCTCCAGTCTATGGCATAATGCATTACCTCATGGTGCTGAGTCATACATGTCACAGGTGCAGTAATACACATCTTGGTGTCTGCCCACCTCAAGGACATTTATCTACATGTCCTGGCCTTGTTACACAAACACATTATGACTATACAGTTCACTAGATCTTAATTTTACATTGTCACAGGCTGACAGAAACCTACTGAGAAATTCAATGTTCTCTGCCTAGTAAGGGGATGGGTAGCCTGACAGAGGTGGCCTGGTTCTTAAAGGAAGTATCTTTTTGTGTTGCTAATGGAGTTTAAATTTTTATTTCCAGGACTTTAAGATTCTTTGTCTCCCAGACGCCACATGGCCAAAAGGAATGACCTCTGCCTGCACTGATATCTTACTAAGAACAACAACAATATCTTGACAAAAGCTAAGTCTGTGATTCTAAAATCATTATATTTTTTCTTTCTCCTGTATTAATTTACACCTTTGCCTGATACAGAAGCCAATGGAGCTATGAAAGCAATGTATTTTATGCATTTTGGTTGGCCCAGTAAACATACCACTTTTGTGAATTATGGATCTTATTGTAGAAGGAAATGTGCAATGATGATGATGATGATGATGATTATGTTTATTTATATCCTGCCTTCCTCCCAACACAGGGACTCAAGGCAGCTAACAAATCTAAAACAGTCCAAGTTAAAACAGTAGAAAACATTAAAAATACAAAGTTTAAAAACAATTAAATAATTCAAACAATTAAAAATATTACCTGATTAAAATTTAAAGTTTAAAACTCTTTAAAACAAAAACAGCATCCATGTTATGCGAAGGCCTGGCAGCATAAAAACATCTTTATGAGAGCTGTTGACTGGCTTACATTCTCCTCAGGACCAGATTGCAACAAATCCTTAACTACTCAAAAGAGCTCAGCTGAGCGGTTCTGTGCAGCTCCAATAGTTAAAAAAAAGCCTTTTTTTCTGCCTTTATTGCATCATCATATGTTTTAGATAGTTTTTAGCCAGAGTTTTCTGCCACTGTTGCTCTAATCTCCATCTTATACATTTCATTGCTGCCAGCTCCTTAGAAAACCATTCCATGAAACAGGACACTTAGGAGTGATCATGTCAACTGCCCTGGTAGTTTCTCCATTCCAGAGATCAACCAGGACTTCAATAGGACCATCTGCCAAGGCAACAGGAAACTCCCTAAGAGCCATCAGGAATCCATCTGGATCCATAAGCCTCCTGGGGCAGACCATCTTAATGGGTCTCCCACCCCTGCAGAGGCTCTGAGTTCCAGCAAGTCTAAACCTGACCAGAAAGTGATCTGTCCATGGCAATGGAATAATAGAAAGTTCCTCCATTCTCAGATCACCAGCACCCCCCTCTGTACAGAACACAAGGTCTAGAATGTGCCCATCAGCATGAGTGGGGCCAGATACCAGTTGGGACAGCCCCATGGTTGTCATGACAGCCATGAAGTCCTAAGCCACTCCCAACAGGGCAGCCTCGGCATGAATGTTAAAGTCCCCCAGCAATATAAGCTGAGGAGACTCCAACACCACCTCTGAGACCACCCTGGTTAACTTAGGCAGGGAGACTGTTGAGAAGCGGGGTGGACAGTACACCAACAAAATCCCTAATCCGTCCCAGCTGTCCACCTTTAAATAAACACACTTAAATCCTGTAGACTGAGGAATAGGATGTCTGGCCAGGGGGATGTTATTCTGATAGACCACTGTAACTCCTTCTCCCTGCCCCCCCCCAGGTCTTGCCGCTGCTGCACAGAGAATCCTAGTGGGCAAAGCTGAGAGAGATTACCCCCCCCCCCAGCCTCATCCAATCAGGTCTCTGTAATGCAGGCCAGGCCAGCTTGTTCTTCCAGGATCAAGTCCTGTATGGCAGCTGTTTTACCATTCACTGTCCTGGCATTCAGCTGCAGCATTTTCAACCTGGGGGGATAACTGCCTTGGCTATCTATATTATTTGGGGTAGGAGACAATTTAGGGGTGACTAACACACTATCATACACCCTATGATAGTGCAACTGTCTCCCATTTCCTTATCTCCCCATCCCCTGCATAACTTCAGTGGCTGTTCCCTGAGTACCATTACCTCCCTCCTTTCACTGGCTGCACATCTCCCCTCCCCACAGGACTGGTCAGTTGATTTCCCTGCTTATCAAAGAGAAAGTCACTCTTCAGCAACCCCATGGGTGGAAGCCCTGCCCTCAAAGTAGTTCACACAGCCCAGGGGCTAACCCAAGGCAGCTGGGCAGTTGCTGGGAGCTGCTGACTAGGCTTCATTCCTGCCGAGAGGCAGCTCTCTCTGTGGAGATAAAGGAGTTTCTGAGTGAAGGAAGAGGTGGCAGATGGGATGTGCAGTCACTGAGCAGCACACAAACCCTTCTCTTTCATTCCAGGATGGTACATGGAATCTCCTCACTCTCTGCAGGATTCTGGATGGTAAAGCCCAGAGTAGTCCCAGTTATATTGCCCAGCCCAGGGGCTAACCCAAGGCATCTGGGCAGTTGCTGGGAGCTGTTGGCTGGGCCTCAATCATGCCAAGAGGCAGCTCTCTCTGTGGAGGTAAAGGAGTCCCTGAGTGAAGGAAGAGGTGGCAGATGGGATGTGCAGTTGCTGAACAACAGACAGACCCCTTTCCTTCACTCTCAAATGGTACATGGGATCTCCTCACTCTCTGCAGGATGCTGAGTTCAAGAAATTCAAGATACAGAGGTATCTTGCCTTACAGGACAAGTCAGGAATTCTAACATATGCCCAATGCCCTGAACAGCTGACATTTGTAGACTAGGTCAAATTACAGCAGCCTCAACATCAGTGGTGGGTGGACATGGTGCTTCCTGTGGAAAAAAATGTGCCGATTTGGTGCAGAGTAAGTGCCAAACTGCAAATAGTATTTGAAAACTGTGCAGGTTTTGAAGACTTTCCCCCCAATGGGATGAACATTTATAAAATTATCCATTGCTTCCTTAGAGAACAAAATTAGTGAAGAATTGCACCCCTACTTCAGATACACAAGAAATGCAGAGACAAGACAGGAATGTCATCCATCCAAATGAAGAAGTAAACATAAATCTCCCTCTGCAATCCTCAGCCATCCCATGTGGGTGGTGGATAGTGTTGAGGGCTGTGCAATCTGGAGTGTACAAAGAGCCTAGCTCAGTCCAGTGAAGGATCTGTGAATCACAGAAATGAATGAGCTGGACATCTGAGCCCAGAATGACTGATGCAATGCCCAGATAATTTGTTGTTGTTGTTGTGTGCCTTCAAGTTGTTTCTAACATATGGCAACCTTAAGGCAAACCTATCACAGGGGTTCTTGGGGCTGACAGTGGCTTTATGTGACTGAACAGGGAATCAAACCCTGGTCTTCAGAGTTACAGTCCAATGCTTATACCACTACATCATGCTAGCTCTCCATTACAATGTAACATATAACATTATATGCTATTGTGTTACATCAGTTGCATCACTAGGATTGGTGTCACTTGGTGTTGTGACTTATGGTGTCACTCCCATTGACCTCCTCCTATATACACCATACAGAATCCTTAGTCATGCTTTTTGTACTAATTTATTTATAAAATTAAATGTATATCTAAATTTATGATATCATACACACAGAATAAATGCTATTACATATACATAGTTTCATGTGGTTAAAGTGAAAATTTGGTAAAATATGATGCTTTTAAATATTTTTTTTAATTAAGTGGCCTTTCCTTTTTCCTCCCAATGAGCCTCACACCACTCACACATTTTTAAGCATTTCAAAGAGATACAGGCAAATGCCAAAGCCCATTTCTGCCAAATTGCAGATATCTGAGGAGTAATGGTGTCACCCCCCCCTTAGGGTGTCACCTGCTGTGGTCTACACCCCCTGCACCCCCATAGTGATTTCATTGTGTTCCATCCATCACATACTATAACAGCTCCCTGCTCACTTTATGAAAACCATTTCCAAAATTTCATTCCCTGTTTTCTTTTGTTAGATTCAAGATTGACAAGACTTGTATCCTTCCCATGGGAAATTTTCCGGCTTTAAAATCAACGTCAGTAAAACTAAGATGTTACTATTTAATTTAAACAAGACAGAACTGGAATTGCTTCAACAGGTTTCACAGTTTGAAATTCAGAAAAAAATAAAATATTTGGGAATATATCTAACTACAAAAAATATAGAACTATTTAAAAACAATTATGAAAAAACGTGGAAGAAAATTCGAGATGATTTACAAAGGTGGTCAAAGTTGAAATTAACATGGTCTGGCAG